AGCCTGTCCTCCCCCCCCACCCCCCCCCCCCCCACGCCGCCCCTTTTTTTCTACTTACCCCAAAATACACACGCTTTGTTTGTGAGAATGAGAAGATGTAGATTAAAGCGTAGAATTGTGCGAGTCGAGACAATTGTCAGCTCTTCAGATATTTGCATTATGTTTGTAAACACGGGGGATGCTGACAAAGCACATAGAGCACTAACTAAACCAAACTAATCAATTTATAATGATGGCTGCCAGACAACACCCCATAAAAATCTCGTACAAAAACGTAGCGGTAGTGGCCAAAGCTATGATTCACACACACACAGTTACACCGGCGGCCACATACGATACTGTACCCCTTAATATGATATAAATAATCCAGTCTTGATTGCTTCACTTTACCAAAGACTTATGATGAAGTTTCTTGTCTTAATAACGTTGCTCTTAGCAGCAGTCACGATAGCGCAAATTTATCCAAAGGACAAAGATGATGACACTCCTCTCGCACCATTGATCTCTTCCCAAGACGCAGAAATAATCCCTGATAAATACATCGTCGTTTTCAAAACCGATATTACTGCGGATCAAATATCTTGCCACCACAATCGAGTTAACACTGCGCTGTTCGAGGAAAGGAAGAAATACAAAAGAGGATTTATGACCGAATTGATTTCTGGAATTGAACACGTATACAACCTCGATGGCTTTCAAGGATACTCTGGTACATTCTCAAAAGATGTACTAAATCATATTAGACAAAGTGATGACGTAAGTATTATAAAATTGTTATCAGGCAGGAATCCTTTGCAAGAAGACGACGATTATGATACCTGGTTATATGACGACAATTATTTTTATTCTCGCCTTCACTTTTTGCTCAGATTGCTTACGTCGAGAAAGACCATAAAGTCTACGCGGACGTAATACAGTATGACGCTCCGTGGGGTTTAGCCCGCGTTTCGCATCGAGATCGCCTTCAATGGGATACATACAACAGATACTTGTACGACCAAACAGCTGGCGAGGGCATCACAGCGTATGTTATTGATACTGGAATTTACATTAATAATACCGACTTCGACGGTCGCGCTCGATGGGGTGTCACTATACCATGGGGTGAGCCCAATATCGACAACGTTGGGCATGGAACTCATGTTGCCGGAACTATTGCTGGAACCAGGTTTGGAGTTGCCAAGAATGCAAGACTTGTCGCCGTTAAAGTCTTGGGACAAGATGGAGGTACCGTATCTGACGTAATCAAAGGCATAGAATGGACTGTCAGGGATCACAGAAGATCTGTCAATGAGGCGAGGAGAGCAGGCCGGCAATATAAAGGTTCAGTTGCGAACATGAGTTTGGGAGGTGCTAAAAGTTATGCTCTAGACAGGGCTGCTAATGCGGTAAGATTATTGTGAGAACAAGATTTCGAAACCTTTTTTATTTTTCGGGAATGTGCTAATTACGTTGGGGTTTTTCCCCTTCCGTGGCGCAAATATCTAATTTACTTGTGTTTCAATATACCAATTCTCTATCTATTAGGCGGTCGATAACGGAGTAGTTCTGGTCGTAGCAGCAGGCAATAGTAATGCTGATGCTTGCACTCAATCTCCTTCCGGCGCTGCAAAAGCAATTTCAGTTGCTGCTTCTACCATACGCGATGAACGCGCTGGATTCTCCAACTATGGTAGATGTGTCGCACTTTTTGGCCCCGTAAGTAAATGGAAAAGAAAAAACGTAACGGATTGCTGTTTGTCTATTCATACACATTTGCTTACATTTGACCTATTTATTAAACATAGGGCCAAGATATTTTGTCGACGTGGATTGGCTATCCCACGGCCACAAAATCAATTTCCGGCACTTCTATGGCGTCTCCACACGTAGCTGGACTTGCAGCCTATCTCCTCTCTTTAAGTCCAAGTCCGTTGTCCCCCACAGCTCTACGTAATAAATTGATAGCTCTCGCCACAAGAAATGCTCTTGTTGACGTGAAGGGTAGTCCTAATCTCCTGGCTTACAATGGCATCATCTGATGAATAGGAGTAGTAGGGGTATTTGTTGCTTAGTGTAGGAACAGAGTAGAATTTATTAGCTCCATACTAAAGGTGTTTTTGTAAAATAAAGTAATCATAAAAACAATATCAGTAGACGGGTTTATGTGTTTGAGAATTTATTATCGGGGCTTGCTACAACTACAATGCTTTAGTTAAGGGAAATGCACGCGGAGTAATAGTCAGATTAGCCGAAGATGGCTTATTTATTATCTCGTCTTTGAACAAGTATGCTTTTAAAATAAGAGTCTTTACTTCGGTTTCTGATTTTCGATGCAGGCCTTCGATCTGGCTCGAGCTTTGGAGCTTATCCAAGTTTGGTACCATGTTAATCAATTTTTCACAGTACCTGCAGATCGCTAATATTAGCGTGTTTTCAATGATGGTATTTCGTTTATTTTTAATTAACTAACACATAAAACATGTCAAGTTTTATCTATTGTCTTTCCTATTGAACAGTTTATTTAGTGTTTCGAGTCTCGATTGAGTCATTTTCTCTAGTCTGTTTCTTAACTTTTCGTCTCTAGTAACTTTACATATCGATGCCTTGAGTTCAGATTTCTCCCCACCTGACAATAATATATTCCTGACGCATCGTAAAATAGTTACTTCAGGATGTCAGCCGTTTGGTGGTTATAAAAGCCATTATTCTTTAATGGGACGACCTTGACAGCTGAATGTTATCTTTTTAGCACTTGAGTTAAGGGATTTGTCACCTCACCTATTAGTATTAGTGACACCACAACAAGCTTAAATCTGTACGCAGTTTGACTCAAAAAAGGGAAGTACAATGAGCGCTGATTATCAGCCAGATGTAATAACAGATCATTTTATCGTTGGCGCAGTAACTACGATATTCGAACATTACATGATAAGTTACAAAGCATAGACTTTGGAATTACACATAGTTTAAGCAACCCTTTTAGTTCATAATAGATATTAATATAATACTTTACATTTACCTTTGATTCAAAATCATTAATTGACGGAATAACCGTACGTTCAACAGCGTCACATGATTATGCGACAATCGCCAAGAATGTTACGTTTTACATGATAAAGTTGCGAATCATCAGGGCATACTCTCAAGTGTTTTCGCTACACGGCATGCACCCAAACGTTAAAAATGGAAATACATATGTAAATTTAGGAAATGGTCAAACCGAAACATGCATGCTTCTTTGTGCCCTATCGCTAACAAAAAAAAATATTGCCCATTGTCGTCATTTAGTTATCAAATGTCGCATAGATCGTTCCGGGAGATAACTGCAAGTTTCACATATTGTCATGATGTGTGCCCGATTTACGTATGAAGTCCTTCTGAGATGATACCGTTATTCAGTACGTTTGGATTGTTAATAAGGACGTTTTCTTAATACGCGTTTTTTGTATCCGATGAGTCTGAGAGTTAACTTTGCCATAATGCTTTTCTGCTAGAGTTAGAATTACCATGACCTCAATAAATGCAAGTGTTAACTTGCGTTACAACGTTGTAAAACGTTAGTTTAACGTCGACACTGTAACCAGTTTTGTATTACGTTCGACTCGTATATAATAATACTTAAGGAGCTGCCGAGTATCGCAATTCATCACGAATAGCTATGATCAAGATTCTTTTCCTAATAACGCTGTGCGCAGCAGCAGCCGTAGCGATACCATTTTTCCCAGAAAACAATGACGATACTCTTGCGCCTTTGATGTCATCTCCAGGTGCAGCAATTGTTCCTGACCAATACATTGTGGTATTCAAAAACGAAATTGCCGAGGAAAGAATATCTTGCCATCACCATGATATCGCTGACCTAGTGTTTGAGGAAAGAAAAAAATTTAAGCGAGGATTGATGGCTGACTTTGTTTCTGGAATTAAGCATACTTACGATATCGGAAGTTTTAAGGGATATTCTGGTAGATTCTCTAATGAAGTTTTACAAATGATCAGACAGAGCGAAGATGTAAGTAGATAAAACGTCGATCTCGTTATGTAAATCTTTTGTACTACAAAGCCTCGATTTCCCCAGGTCGCGTACGTCGAAAAGGATCAAGTAGTTCGTGTGGGCGCAAGTGAACTTAATCCACCATGGGGTTTGGCTCGCATCTCTCATCGCGGACGTGACGGGCCGAACTTGTATGAGTATGATTCAACTGCCGGCGAAGGTGTCACCATATATGTAATTGACACGGGAATCTACGTCAACCATACCGACTTTGGTGGTCGTGCTACATGGGGTGCTACTATACCAGAAAATACACCCAGCATCGATGACAACGGTCATGGAACGCACGTTTCTGGCACTGCCGCTGGAACTCAGTACGGTGTTGCTAAAAATGCTCGACTTGTTGCTGTCAAGGTTTTAGACATGAACGGACGCGGATTCAACAGCGATGTAATCAAAGGGATAGAATGGGCAGTAAACGCACACAAGGCTCAAGACGCGGAAGCCAGAAGAACGGGAAGCACATTCA